ATAAACATTTTTCCAAATCTTTTTTAATAATTTTTCTGTTTCTTTTAATAATGTTTCTGTCTTTTTTAAATATTGTTTTTCTGTTCTTTTTAAACATTTATCTGTCTTTTCTGTTACCTGACCCCACCCTTTACTCACTTGCTGCATGTCGACCCCACCCTTTACTCACTTGCTGCATGTCGACCCCACCCTTTACTCACTTGCTGCATGTCGACCCCACCCTTTACTCACTTGCTGCATGTCGACCCCACCCTTTACTCACTTGCTGCATGTCGACCCCACCCTTTACTCACTTGCTGCATGTCGACCCCTCCCTGAGAGACGGAGAACAGAGGGTGGGAGCTGAAGTCTGACGCCTCGAACACCTTCAGAGGGAACAGCGCAACGTTAGACATGGCTTTACTGAATCTGCTCTAGTCTGATATTAATGCAGCTCTCCATGTTTTCACACACACACACACACACACACACACACACACACACACACACACACACACACACACACACACACACACACCACACACACACACACACACACACACACACACACACACACACACACACACACACACACACACACACACACACACACACACACACACACACACACACACACACACACACACACACACACACACACACACACACACACACACACACACAGATATTAAACATCCAGAGCTAAACCAGGACAGTTTTAAAGAGGCCCCATTATGCTTTTTGTGGTGTTTGAAGAGTGTTCTATAGTTTTGTTTGTATGTATTTCTTAGTGTTTTGTGTGTAGTTAGGTATATATATATATATATATATATATATATATATATATAAATATATATAATTCTGTTGTTCTTAAAGCAAAGTTTCACTTTGACCTGGCAGTAGGTTTGCTCGTTATGCACCATCTGCAGCATTATAGTGGTGGTGATAAAAACTGATAACGTCCGATTAAAGAGGCCATATTCTGCTTTTTAGGTTTTAGTGCATGTAAATGGTGTGCAAAGGCTAAAATCCGTGTTCCTCCAGAGGGAGTTTCCCACACACTCGAATGTGCTCTGGGATTGGGTTATTACCCAAGCAGAGTGACTTATAAACAGAATAATGAATTATTACACTGACGGGGGAATTCACAATCAATGGATTGCAGCTGGTGATATTTTTAGGGTCTGAATTTTCAGAAAAAGTCTGAATTTTGAGATTTTCTGAAAAAAGTCTGAATTTTTTGATTTCCCCCCAAAAATAAAAGTGTAGTTCTGTGTGTATGCTGAATGTGTATGCTGAATGTGTATGCTGAATGTGTATGCTGAATGTTTCCTGGAGGTATTCCCTCTCACCTGGTTTCCTGCCATCAGCACCGGGTTGGGGCTCGGTCTGTAGGGGACGGTCGCTCCTTTAGGCGGAGACTGGAGAGAACAAAGGGTAAAATATTTAACTAACAGATATCACCACGTAACTTCCACACTGCATTACTGACATCAATCAAACACACTTTTATATTACAAGTTTTCTGACGTTTAAATGTGTAAATGAGGCGTTGTCTCCCAATACACATCAGACAATCAACCATCCTTCAAACTAGCCCTCAAACCTCCTCCTTCAGACTGGCTTTTCTCTGGGAACCCCGACCCTCCATCTTGTGAAAAAAGTATTTTGATATTTACAGAAAAAGTTAGCATTTTGAGATTTTGTGAAAAAAATCTGAAGGTTGAGGTATTTTGAGATTTTCAAAAAAGTCTAAATTTGGATATTTTCTGAAAAAGGTCAGAATTTTGAGGGTTTTTTTAAAAGTCAGAATTTTGCGATTTCCCCCAAAAAATCTGAAATTGTTGAGATTTTCAGAAAAGTCAGAATCTTCAGAAAAAGTCAGAATCGTAAGAAAAAAAGTCTGAATTTTACGAAAAAATTCGGAATTTTCCAAAACAAAATCAGTATTTTTGAGATTTTGAGAAAAAAGTTAGAATTTTCAGAAAACAAGTTAGAATTCTCAGAATGTGGAGGACTGATGTAAAGAGATGAGCTAAATACTCAGTGAATATTTATTCACATATATTTATCTATTTATTTAGCCGGCATGGTCCGTGTGCATCGTATCCCAGCATGCATTGTGTGGGAGGTAAAGCAGATCAAAGGATTTGAGATCAAACAGAGCGGAGGCCCTCCTCCTCACTCTGTGATTCATCTTCAGAGTGAAGGAGTTTCGCTGAGGTCAGCAGTTTCTCCAACATGACTCTGAACACCAACGAGCTGCACAGCCTCTGATTTCCACTCAGACAAAACCTCAGATTAATTATTATACAATCATGAATTATAGACATCAGAGTTTCCATTGGGAAGATCGTCTGAGAGGTGGGTGGAGCCTCATAGGAACTCTCTGATTGGAGGAAAATTGAGAGCAGAAAGTTAGACTTCATCACGGAAACTGTATTTTTCTTTGTTGGAAAATGTCGTTTTTTTGGGTAATAAAAAATGCATCAGGGAAAAATAAAGACTATTGTTGGTGATTCTGAAATGTGCATGACTCATGATCCCTTTAACTTTTAGATCTAACAAACAGTGACGGGTGCAAACGCGCTACAACGGTCTCACAGCTGTGTGCGTCACTCTTTAGTGTCCCCTGGTCTCCAGCTGTGTGCGTCACTCTTTAGTGTCCCCTGGTCTCCCAGCTGTGTGCGTCACTCTTTAGTGTCCCCTGGTCTCCCAGCTGTGTGCGTCACTCTTTAGTGTCCCCTGGTCTCCCAGCTGTGTGCGTCACTCTTTAGTGTCCCCTGGTCTCCCAGCTGTGTGCGTCACTCTTTAGTGTCCCCTGGTCTCCCAGCTGTGTGCGTCACTCTTTAGTGTCCCCTGGTCTCCAGCTGTGTGCGTCACTCTTTAGTGTCCCCTGAGCTCCCAGCTGTGTGCGTCACTCTTTAGTGTCCCCTGGTCTCCAGCTGTGTGCGTCACTCTTTAGTGTCCCCTGAGCTCCCAGCTGTGTGCGTCACTCTTTAGTGTCCCCTGGTCTCCAGCTGTGTGCGTCACTCTTTAGTGTCCCCTGGTCTCCCAGCTGTGTGCGTCACTCTTTAGTGTCCCCTGGTCTCCAGCTGTGTGCGTCACTCTTTAGTGTCCCCTGGTCTCCCAGCTGTGTGCGTCACTCTTTAGTGTCCCCTGGTCTCCAGCTGTGTGCGTCACTCTTTAGTGTCCCCTGAGCTCCCAGCTGTGTGCGTCACTCTTTAGTGTCCCCTGAGCTCCCAGCTGTGTGCGTCACTCTTTAGTGTCCCCTGAGCTCCCAGCTGTGTGCGTCACTCTTTAGTGTCCCCTGGTCTCTCATCTGTGTGTTTTTTTTTTTTTTTTTTTTTTTTATTGAACATTTTTTTAAACATACAAAAGCTCGGTGAGGATATCATCAACTTATCAACATAAGTTCAAGACATTCATTCACAATAAGACAAAAAAACATAACTAATACATCCAGTAAGAGCCAGGGGGAAAGAAAAAAGCATAAAGGCACAAAAACATTTAAGAGGCATTAAGCTTACTTAAAATAATAACCATTTGGAAATGTCATTGCAAATCTTTATAGACAGGTTACAAGATTGTATTTTTCTAAGGGACAGAAAAAAGGACTTGAACTCATTTATGAAACAGGGAAAGGAGGGCTTGCCTCCTCTCCATTTACTACAATGTAAATGGTATTTACCCAAAATAATAATTATATTTACCAAATCAGAAATGGGAGAGTCCAAATTATCAATATAATATAAAATGTGATATATTTTGAAGGCCGGAATATTTGTTAATTTAAGTAACAACCAATCTCTCACATTCGACCAAAACAATTCAGAAAAGGGGCAAGAGAAAAATAAATGTTCCAACGATTCATCAGATAAATTACAAAAGGAACATGGTTCCACTTCAAATTTAAATCTTGAATTTAAAAAAGTAGAAACCGGGTAGATTTTATGAACAATTTTAAAATGAGTTCTTTTGCTTTAGGGGAAATAGGCCATTTTATAAAATCAGATAGAGCTTTTTCCATTACAGATAAAGTGTCTAAATCGGTCACTTGAGGAAATAAGCCTCTGTTCAAATTGTGAAAAATGTGGGATTTCAGGGAAGCATTAATAGATTTGTTATTCTTAAGAGTATCGCCAATAATTTCCAAATTAGGTAAAACTGATACAACATTTGAGTGCAGTAAAGTATTATGAATCATTCCAATAAGTGGTACAGGAATTGCTTTACAGATTTTGTTATAATCTTTAGCAGTACACGTTATATTGTATTTCGTTGAAAAGGCCAAAACATCGAGCAGTTTACCATTGCAATCTAGTAAATCACTAACAAACAAAATACCCCTCTCATGCCAATCACTCCTAAACAAGGATTTTCTGTTTATGATAATCACTCTATTGTTCCATAACGTAGATCCATGAGGAGAAAAACTGTGGGTAAATATCATCTTCCAATAATGAAGTATCTGCTTATGAAAATTTGACAATTTGGTCGGAATCTTATTAACCTCAAAATCACATTTTAAAAGAAAATCAAACCCTCCTAGACGTTTAAATATGGCCTTTGGAATATGGAACAACATGGATTCTGGCTGGGACAAAAAAGCTTTCAACCATTTTATTTTAATTGTTCCAATCATCGATTCAAAGTCTAAAGCTTTAATTCCGCCTTTATCATATTCTTTAACAAGCTGTGACTTTTTAATGTAGTGAGTTTTATTTCTCCACAAGAATTGGAAAATAATTGAGTTGGCTTTTTTTATATTAGCCGAAGAGACAAAACATGAGTGGCATGGATAAATAAGTTTAGATATACCTTCTGCTTTAGTAAGAAGAACTCTGCCAAAAAGAGTAAGATCTCTAGTTAACCAACGACTGAGAGATTTCTTCATATCTGTGATACGGTTACAAATATTAAGATCTTCTCTCCTGATATCATTTTTAGATAATGTTATTCCCAAATATTTCACCTCAGGTACCACTCTAATAGAGTCAATAGTGGAATCATCACATGAATGGATAGGGAGTCATTCACATTTTGAAAGATTAAGAGATAACCCTGAGGCTTTTGAAAAAATTGAAATTGTGTTAAGAGTTTCCTTTACCATAGATGTATTCTTTAGGAAAATGGATGTGTCATCCGCAAATTGACTAATTTTGAACTCTTTGTCAAAGAGGGTAATGCCTAATATTTTGTGATTCTTTATAATAAGCGTTGTTAATACTTGGGTGGTCAGAATAAATAATTTGGGGGAAATAGGACAACCCTGTCGAATACCACGTAAAACCTTAAACCTAGGGCTCATTCCAGGGTTCAAAGATACAGAACTATAAATGTCCGAGTAGAGCATCCTAATTATGTTGCAGAAATGTTCACCAAAACCCAGAAATGTCAGAGTTTCCATTAAAAAGGAATGTTCAACAGTATCAAAAGCCTTGTAAAAATCCAGAAATAGTACGAGACCTTCAGTATCAATAAACTCCTGGTAATCAAGCATATCCAATATCAGTCTGGTATGGTTATGAATACTTCTGCCCTTTATAAAGGCTGATTGACATTCATCTATTAGTTGATTCAGACCCGAGTTTAACCTGTTAGCATAAACATGTGCTAAAAGTTTGTAATCATTACATAACAGGGTAATAGGTCTCCAATTATCCAACAAAAGATTATTTTTATTTGGTTTTGGAATTAAGGTAATAAGGCCATGTTTCATGGTTGGCGAAAGGTTTCCTGCTGAAATGCAATCTGTGAACGCCTTATAAAGCATTTCTCGCACATCTGACCAAAAACATTTATAAAACTCTATGGTTAAACCATCCAGCCCTGGTGATTTGCCACCAGACATTTGCAGTAATGCACTATCTAATTCTTCAATTTTTAGTCCATCGTCCATATACTGTTTAAAAGAATAATCTATTGTCTTTTTGAATTCTGTAATTTTACTAAAAAAGTTATCACAATTTTCTTTAGAAAACTTTGAGTTATATAAATTGCTATAAAAAAAGTCTAATTTCTTCATTTATCTGGTCTTGATTTTCAATAGTGACATCATTAATAATCAGTTTTTGGATTTTCTTTTTCACTTGTCTTTGTAAACGCTGCGCATGTCTCCTCAAGTTGCTGAATGTTAATGACGTTGTAGCGCGTTTGCACCTGTTGGCCACCGTAGATTTAGACAGAGAAACATGTAAAAATAGACACACACACACACACACACACACACACACACACTCTCTTACCTCCAGGATGACGGTGCAGATGAGCTTCACACACTGGATGATGGCGTCCTGGTTCCCCGATATCGTGACCTCCCTCTCTGTGGAGTTAGGGAGGAGATCCCCTGCCACCTGCACCTGAGCACCTGTGGTCTACACACACACACACACACACACACACACACACACACACACACACACACACACACACACACACACACACACACACACACACACACACACACACACACACACACACACACACACACACACACACACACACACACACACACACACACACACACACACACACACACACACACACACACACACACACACACACACACACACACACACACACACACACACACACACACACACACACACACACACACACACACACACACACACACACACACACACACACACACACACACACACACACACACACACACACACACACACACACACACACACACACACACACACACACAGACAGAGATCAGGTGATAACACACAGGAAGAAGATTTGACACTCAAAGTGATGGAGAGGAAGGATTTATATTCTTATACAACCTGCAGCATAGTTATCACCGCAATAAACCGTATTTAATTTAGTCTTAATGTACAGTATGTAATTCCATATTCTGTTCTTGTACTCATCATATTCTACTTACATATAGACTTCTTTCACTATTATTAATTTTTTTTTTGTTGTATTTTATGATATATGTTGCATTGTTGGAGGAGCTCAGGTCAGAAGAATGTCATTGCCATTTCTACTCTGAAGCTCATGAGACAATAAAACCTTTGAGTCTTGAATTGAATCAACAAATCATCCAGAAGTTTAAATAAAACTGACATTGATTCACCTGATACTTCTCATTCTTTAAACCAAAGTGTGTGTGCTACATGTTGCGTCAAAGGATCATGTAATCATTTCAAACATATCGTCTTATACTCTGATTGCCTTTACTCTGTTCAAGTGTATTTGTAGTCTTGTATGTGTTTAACAGAGACATATGTTAAGGGTTTACATTTCAGGAGGTAAACGAAGTAAAAGGTGGGTTTTATGGTTCAAAAAAGTCTAAATTTGGATATTTTCAGAAAACAGTCAGATATTTTTATATTTTCAGAAAAAGGTCAGAATTTTGAGTTGATTTTTTTTAAATGTCAGAATTTGCAATTTCCCCCAAAAAATCTGAAATGTTGATATTTTCAGAAAAAAATCTGAATATTTATTAAGAGAGTCGGTATTTTTAGGAAAAAATCTGAATTTTCTATATTTTCAGAAAAAAGTCAGAATTTTGAGGTTTAAAAAAAAAAGTCAGAATTTGCGATTTTCCCCAAAACATCTCAAATGTTGATATTTTCAGAAAAAACTCAAATTTTTTAACACTGTGTTAAATTGTATTTTTAGTCTTGTATGTGTTTAACAGAGACATGTGTTAAGGATTTACATTTCAGGAGGTAAAGGAAGTAAAAGGTGGATTTAAGGTTTGATGATGGGATGGAGGAGCAGCCGTTTCCTCTCATGAACACACAGAGAGACTGGGAGCAGAACTTCTGTGTCCTCTGAGGAGGAAGCTGCTCTGTTCCTGCACTTCAGATCCATTTCACTTCATATTGACTTTCTTTATTACTTTATTAAATAGAAGACAAACTTTGTCCATGAATCATTGATCGGTTTCTATGAAGCATTTCCTAATATTCAGTATGTAGAGTAGAAATACCTTCAGTTAAAGTCCGGCATCAAAACTGTCCCTCATTGAACCTGAGCACATCCTGTCCTCTTTAAAGACACACACATCCAGCACCAGACACTTTTCACGCTGCGATGGACAGTCTCGCACTAATGTATTGAAGTGAGGGGTTTCTCTGGAAGTGTCTCCTTGTCCGATGTGAGGGTCCGAGGACAGAGGGGGTCGTACTGATATTCTGTACAAACTGTGAAGTCCACTGAGACACATGTAACATGTGTGATATTGGGCTATATAAATAAACATTGATTGATTGATAGATTGATTAAAGGTCGTTTGATCACCTCTCGGATCTCTTTGATCTTGGAGCCTCCCTTCCCGATCAGAGAGCCGCACTGACTGGCCGGGATGACGAGCCGCAGCGTGACCGGAGGACGGGAGCTAACAGAGCCGTTAGCCACCAACGCTAACACGTCCTGAAACAGAGGGAGAGTGATTACTGAGGAGATCTAACGCAGTACTCAGTTCCCCTACTTAGTCAAAGTAGAGAGGTTTGATCATCAGGAGAGGACTCTTTAAAGTAGAGACACTACATACTGATATACACCTGAACATCAGGAGGAGAGGACTCTTTAAAGTAGAGACTCTACATACTGATATACACCTGAACATCAGCAGGAGAGGACTCTTTAAAGTAGAGACACTACATACTGATATACACCTGAACATCAGCAGGAGAGGACTCTTTAAAGTAGAGACACTACATACTGATATACACCTGAACATCAGCAGGAGAGGACTCTTTAAAGTAGAGACACTACATACTGATATACACCTGAGACATCAGCAGGAGTGAGGACTCTTTAAAAGTAGAGACACTACATACTGATATACACCTGAACATCAGCAGGAGAGGACTCTTTAAGTAGAGACACTACATACTGATATACACCTGAACATCATCAGGAGAGGACTCTTTAAAGTAGAGACACTACATACTGATATACACCTGAACATCAGTCAGAGAGGACTCTTTAAAGTAGAGACACTACACACTGATATACACCTGAACATCAGCAGGAGAGGACTCTTTAAAGTAGAGACACTACATACTGATATACACCTGAACATCAGCAGGAGAGGACTCTTTAAAGTAGAGACACTACATGCTGATTACACCTGAACATCAGCAGGAGAGGACTCTTTAAAGTAGAGACACTACATACTGATATACACCTGAACATCAGCAGGAGAGGACTCTTTAAAGTAGAGACACTACATACTGATATACACCTGAACATCAGCAGGAGAGGACTCTTTAAAGTAGAGACACTACATACTGATATACACCTGAACATCAGCAGGAGAGGACTCTTTTAAAGTAGAGACACTACATACTGATATACACCTGAACATCAGCAGGAGAGGACTCTTTAAAGTAGAGACACTACATACTGATATACACCTGAACATCAGCAGGAGAGGACTCTTTAAAGTAGAGACACTACATACTGATATACACCTGAACATCAGCAGGAGAGGACTCTTTAAAGTAGAGACACTACATACTGATATACACCTGAACATCAGCAGGAGAGGACTCTTTAAAGTAGAGACACTACATACTGATATACACCTGAACATCAGCAGGAGAGGACTCTTTAAAGTAGAGACACTACATACTGATATACACCTGAACATCAGCAGGAGAGGACTCTTTAAAGTAGAGACACTACATACTGGAGAGGACTCTTTAAAGTAGAGACACTACATACTGGAGAGGACTCTTTAAAGTAGAGACACCACACACTGATAACATGAGCCATAAAAGCTGCTCTCTTGTTCTCTAATCCACTAGAACCTTTCTTATTGTCCATTAGTCAGAAAAGCCTCCTTTAATTTGCTCGACCGTCCTTCCCCCTCAGAAGCTCTTTTCCTGATGTCTTCTTTTTTTTATCCCCGAACTCTCGCCCACCCTCCCCGTGTTCTTCGTGACATGCCATCTCCCCTCTCCTGGCAGCTTAAATCCCCCTTTCTGTCTCCACTCATTCTCAGAGTCTCCCTCTCTAATTAACTCGGGTCATAAATAACCTGAATCACCTGCTCCTAATGCGATTGGTCCAATAAATTAGTCGTTGCGACTCAAAGTAAATATCAGCGCCGTCGGGCCGTCAGAGGAACGTG